GTGCAGAGAGAAACAGGGTTAACGTTTGGATCCAATATGATTCTTCTTCAAGAAAAAAAAGTCATTGGGACTCGAAACGTTGACTCTTTCCACAGTTGCTGCCAGACCTGCTGAGGTTCTCTTGCATTTTCTGTTTTTATTACAAAATTCTCTACTTGCTTTTCTTGGGGATTAGTTAGCTCAATTGGCTAGATAGCTGGTTTGCAATCTAGAGACAGGCTAACAGTTTGAATTCATTGCCTACACAGGGCTGCAGTTACTGTGGAGGACTCTCCTCTCAACTTTCCCTCCCCCACCCTCACCCGAAGTGGGCTGACCCTCAAGTTAAACTTCCCCTAGTCATCTCTCTAATAAAATAGCAGCCCTATGGTGACTTCATTTTCTACACTTCTTTTCTCCCAATTTCAGGATGACATATGAAAATTAATATATTGGGGCAACTCACAAATGTTTCTTGAAACCTGTGATATAGACTATCTAATCTTGTAGTTTTCATGTTTTACAAGGAAATATAATGTTAACATTGTTAAGTATTGCATTGAAATTTGCATGTGAAAAAGAAATCCCTCTTGTCATTAAAGTGCTGATTTGTTGTAAGGGACAGTCCCAGGATCTGGGTTTCCTCTGATATTTGAAAATATGTCCATTCCTCATGTGTGGACATTAACAAAGTAATCCTACAATTGTGGAAACTAGGGAGAGTGATTTCACAGCACAGGGGTCAGCCCAGACCCACAGCAGTTTTGATTACTACTTCTGGTCCACACTCAGCCCATGCCCAATCACGATCTCTTTCTCCTGATCACTCTTCACAATCACACTCCTGAAAATTTGATTTTGGAAATTGGGAGAGATGCATAACAAGTGCATTTCTCCATACTGCCTGTTTTTGCACCATTATGCAAAGTAAAAAGTATTCATAATATCTGTTTTAACAGACTTACCAGCCCAGAGCTGTGTCATGTTACTTTAAGAACAGCTGCTAGGGAAACAGTTTTGGATCAACACTGGAGGAACATTTTGTTTCCTGAATATACACATTGTAATGGTTTCAGTAATGAATAAGCAAAATTAATTTCCCTGAATAAGCACGCACCAACCAAGTTCAAAGCACAGACAAACCAACCCTGAAGAATTGTATACTGTTCTGTCTCCTAAGTTTGGAAATAAATTGCTTTCAAAGCAGTTCAGAGAAGGTGCACTTGACTCATTCCTAGAATGAAGGCCTTATCTTATAAAGCAATTTTTAACCAGCTACGTCAGTACCCATTTAAGTTTAATGGAATGAACTTTAAAACATATAAGATTTTAAGGGGACTGTACAAAGTGGATACCCAGAAGTGTATCCTGTTCTGGGGGACATAGGAACACAGGAGTAGGAGCAGGCCATTCAGTCCCTTGAGCCTTTTCCAACATTTAATGAGATCATGGCTGATCTGTGTCCTAGCTCCATTTACCTGTCTTTGGACCATATTCCTTAATACTTCTACTTAACAAAAAATGTATCTGTCCCAGATTTAATATTAACAACTGATCCTGCATCCACTGCCATTTGTGGAAGAGAGAGTTCCAAACATTTACCGCCCTGTTTGTAGAAGATCTTGCTGACAAATCTCCTGAATGGTCTGGTCCTAATTTTTAGATAGTGCCCCTTAGTTCTAGAATCTCCAAATGGAAATTGTTTATCTTTATTTACACTGTCTATTCCAATTAGTATCTTGAAGATTTCAGCCAGATCACCCTTCAACCTTCTAAATTTGAAAGATAACAGTCCTAATCTCTCCTTATAACTTAACCCGTTGAAGTCCAGGTATCATTCTTGTAAACCTACATTGTATTTCCTCCAGACCCAATATATTCTTCCTAAGTTGTGGTGCCCAACAAAATCTCCAAGTGGGGTCTAATTAACTGCAGCATAGCTTCTGCATCATTGTACTTCAGTCCTTTAGATATAATGACCAGCATTCCATTAGCTTTCTTGATTATTTTCTGCACCTATTCATGACATTTTAAAGATCTATGCTCCTGAACCCCCTTGGACATCAATTGTATTTAACTTCATATCATCAATCCTTTTTCAGCCTAAAAATGGATAACCTCACACTTCCATACATTGAAAACCATCTGCCATAGTTTTGCCATTCACTTAGTCTGTCAGTGTTCCTTTGTAATTTTATGCTAGGATCTACACAGTCTACAATGTCGCTTATCTTTGTGCCATCAGCAAATTTGGATCTACGACTTTCTAGCCATTACCCAAGTCCTTAATAAATAATGTGAATAACTGAGGCCCTAATACAGATCCTTGTGGGACATCAATGGTCACATCATGCCAATTTGAGGACCTACCTATTATCCCTACTTTCTGTCGCCTGCCACTCAGAGTCATAGAGTCATAGAAATGTACAACATGGAAACAGACCCTTCATTCCAACTCGTCCATGCCAACCAGATACTCTTGATAAATATAGTCCCATTTGCCAGCATTTAGCCCATATCCCTCTAAACCCTTCCTATTCGTATACCCAACCAGATGCCTTTTAAATGTTGTACCTGTACCAGCCTCCACTTCCTCTGGCACCTTATTTCATACATGCACCACCCTCTGTATGAAAAAGTTGCCCCTTAGGCTCCTTTTAAAATCTTTCCCCTCTCACCTTATATGCCCTCTAGTTTCAGACTTCCCCACCCCAGGGAAAAGACCTTGTCTATTTACCATATCCATGCCCCTCATGATTTTATAAACCTTTATAAGGTCACCCCTCAGCCTCCTACAGTCCAGGGAAAATAGCCCCAGTCTATTCAGTCTCTCCCTGTAGCTCAAACCCTCCAACACTGGAAACATCCTTGTAAATCTTTTCTGAACCTTTTCAAGTTTCACAACATCCTTCCTATTATAGCAGGGAGACCAGAATTATACATAGTATTCCAAAAGTGGCCAAACCAATTTCATGTACAGCTACAACATGACCTCTCAACTCCTATACTCAATGCATTGACCAATAAAGGCAAGCATATAAAACACCTTCACTACTCTGTCTACCTGTGACTCCACTTTCAAGGAACTATGAACCTGCACTCCAAAGTGTCTTTGTTCAGCAACACTCCCCAGGACCTTGCCATTAAGTGTATAAGTCCTGCTCTGATTTGCCTTTCTGAAATGCAGCCCCTCACATTTTTCTAAAAAAAAATTCCATCTGCCACTCCTCAGCCCCATTGGCCCATCTGATCAAGATCCCATCGTACTCTGAGGTAACCTTCTTCGCTGTCCACTATACCTACAATTTTGGTGTCATCTGCAAACTTACTAACCATACCTCCTACGTTCACATCCAAATCATTTATATAAATGTCAAAGCAGTGGACCCAGCACCAATCCTTGTCGCACACCGCTGGTCACAGACCTCCAGTCTGAAAAGCAACCCTCCAACAGCCATGCCAGTAATTTGCTCTCAATTCTATGAGCTTCTACCTAAGTTAACAGTCCCTTATGTGGAACTTTATCAAATGTGACTTTAAATCTTGGTTTGAGAAGAAGCTGTTTCCCTTTTAAGACAGTGATCAAGAGAGGTTGAATTATCTTTACTCAGAGAGTAGTAAGGGCGTGGAATGCCCTGCCTGCAAAAATAGTAGACTCGCCCACTTTAAGGGCATTTAAATGGTCATTGGATAAACATATGGATGATAATGGAATAGTTTAGGTTAGATGGGCTTCAGATTGGTTTCACAGGTCGGCGCAACATCGAGGGCCGAAGGGCCTGTACTGCGCTGTAATGTTCTATGTTCTTCCCCAGAAGTGGTGAAAGTTTTGTTTTTAAGTTTACTCAAGATAGATTTTTGATGGACAAGGGAGTCAAGGCTTATGGGATATAGACAGGAGAATGGAGGTGAGACTACAACCATGATCTTATTGAATGGTGAAGCAGGCCCAAAGGACCTAATGGTTTACTCCAGTTGCTAAGTATTATTCATAGAATCCCTACAGTGTAGAAACAGGCCCTTCAGCCCAACAAGTCCACACTGACCCTTGGAGCATCCCGACCAGATGCATTGGTCTATAATCCAACTAATCTACACATCCCTGAACACTATGGGCAATTTAGCACAGCCAACCCCCCTTACCCACACATCTTTGGACTGTGCAAGGAAACCGGAGCACCCGGAGGAAACCCATGCAGACACAGGGAGAATATGCAAACTCCACACAAACAATCGCCCGATGCTGGAATTGAACCCGGGTCCCTGGTGCTGTGAGGCAGCAGTGCTAACCTCTGAGCCACCATGCCGCCCTAAATGTTACTTGGATTTCGGGTTTAACAGTCCAACGATAATACCACTAGATCATTGCCTCACCACATGTTTCAATGCATTTATTTTTTGCATTGTTTGGATTTTTTTCCTGGAAAATACATTATCTCTCTTCCATACCTGACAGTTAAAAGTTAATGTTACACAGGAGCGACCATAGATCACAGTGGATAAGTTGCCTTTTGAAGCTATCAAAAAATATATCCAAAATCTGGGATCAATTTATGCACCAAATATAAAATGTGAACCACCAATGCAGGAGATTGCCATTCTGAAATGTGGAAAACAACCATAACATCAGGAATGCAAATTCAATCAATGTGACACATTTTATTCAATGTATTATTTTTATAGGGAAAGCTTTAACTGCAAACAGAACATTTTCAAAACAGTCAAGTTCATTTTCGATGCAAAGAATGCACCCATTCAAAGACAATTTGGCTATTTAGCATCATTGTAAGATCTCACTCTAGATCAGATTTGGTGCTTTTGGTTTTAGAAACATCATTCCATCTGTTCCTCTCCATCCATTCAGATGGATTTTCCACATTTTAGGTCCCTTCATCAAGAATGCCCACTCTAAAGTGACTTGGCACATTGGTGTTAATTGTTGCTGTTCTTAAACTGTTTTGTTTATCCATGAGGAAATAGTATGCCCCATTTTAATATTTGACTTTATATTGTGGCTTCAGGTTTACTTATGAGATCGCACCAGTGTTTGTCCTGTTGGAATACATCACCCTGAAGAAAATGAGGGAAATGATTGGCTGGCCAGGAGGATGTGGAGATGGAATCTTCTCACCTGGTATTTGATCCTCGGGGTTTTTCAGGGGCTTGGAGTTCTTTGCTCGAGTTGAATTAAGAATAATATCCATGGAATTGTACACACATTTCACAATTTTAAAAAGAGAAAAGGAGTTTTATTTTTATGCAAATACTCTCTTCTGAATAATAACAGAAAATAAAATGGATAGAAATCAAGACTAGATCTTCTCTGATATTGTCCACTGCTTTTGGACAGATGAGGCAACAATAGTACTAAAGATGTGAGGTTTTCCTCAGGAAATATGTGCAAAAGTGTTTTTCCCTGACTTTCTACCAGATCCTTTCTCCATTTGAATTTCAATCATTTATTCTGCTCCTCAGTTACAGCAACTTGTTAACATTAGGCTTGGTGCCATCAAGAGACCAGAGAACACAAGGGATCTGCAATTTGCACCTTTTATCTATCGGCATAAATTTACGTCCACAATTTTAAACCAAGTAAGACCCAAAGTTACTGTATCTAGTGTTTTAAAATAATTAGCTTTTTTGGGAAAAAATGTTCTCCTTAGTGATGCCTCACTAATATTAACATGGTCATGCAAAAGCTTTCGTGGCATCAGAACATGTTCAATTAAAAAGAAAACTAGCTTCCACAATTTCATGTCTTTGAACATAATGTTTTCAGTGTGCATGATATGGAGGTGCCGGTGTTGGACTGGGGTGGACAAAATCAGAAATCACACGACACCAGCTTATAGTCCAACAGGTTTATCTGAAATCACAAGCTTCCAGAGCACTGCTCCTCCATCAAGTGATTTCAAATAAACTTGTTGGACTATAACCTGGTGTCATGTGATTTCTGACTTCAGTGTACATAAGTAATAGTTTCATCACTACGAAACTTTAACTTTACTGACTAAAATAAACATTCTCAAATATCCCAGCAAAATTCATGAACCAGTGAGCTACTTATTAAAATAGCTAAACAATCCTACAGAATTATGGAATCAGATTCATTGCCACTTAATTATTTCATGAAGAAACTTTTACAAAAGGCCCAGTTTTCACCATTTGGTTCCAATTCAGTGAGAGTAATTTGAGGCCAAGCCACAAGTAATTCAAACATATCAAGGAACATTCTTTGCTCAAATTCATTCTGGTTTTCGATTCACTATTAACAAAGAAATGTAAAAGGTTACTAAGGAGGGAAACATTTGAGCTTGAGAGAACACTAGCTAGAAATATAAAAACGGACTATAAGAGTTTCTATAGATGCTTTTTAAAATAAGAGTTACCAAAGTGAGTGTTGGTCCCGAGAAAGTGAGTTTGGGAATTAATAATGGAAAATAAAGAGATGGCAGATGAATTAACCAGGTACTTTACATCAATCTTCACTGAAGATGATACAAATAACATTCCAGAAATTGTGGCAAATCAGAAAATGGAAGAGAGTTTAGAAGAGGAATGGACAACTTGATTAAAACTAAAGGATCTGAGGGTTTTGACATGGTGCATGTGGAAAGAAGGTTTCCTCTTGTGGGAGAATCTAGAAGTAGGAGTCACTGTTTAAAAATAAGGAGTTAATCATTTAAGACCAAGATGAGGAAAGAAAAGTCTTGCAGAGGATCAGGAGATTTTGGAACTCTCTTTAGTGAAAGGTAGTTGAAGTAGAACCTTTAAATATTTTTAAGACAGAGGTTGATAGGCTCTTGATATGCAAGAAGATGAAAGATTATGAGTATTGGCAGGAATGTGGAATTATTGTATCAGCCATGATCTTATTGAATAGTGGAGCAAGTTCAAGAATCTGAGTGGCCTACACCTATTCCAACTTTGTATGCTCATATGAAAGCAGATTGTTCTATCTTGTTGAGGATTGGGTGCCAGGAGAGGCTCTCTGAGTTTTGTATGAATTAATCACTTTAACTCTGTGTTCCAAATAACTTAAAATATCCACCTTATCTTAAAAACAGATCCTATTTACCAGTGCTGCTTGTCTTAGACCCAAATCAATTATTCCCCATATCTAGCTGAGAGATAACCAGGCCACTAGCAAGTGGAAAGATTGACAAGGTTTCAGTACAAGTGATTAATCAATCTTTAGAAAGAAATCTTCTCAGTGTCACCACAGCTGCCTGGAATTCAATCGAGAGAACGCTTCATAATTGCGATCTGTACCCTAAAGGTATTGGCACTGTTATTACCATTTATAAATAACAGTTTTTTTTAGACTGACCCATCTGAAATCAGGTCAAGGAGATTGAGAAGACTGGTGACATTGGGCAGAATTTTATATGAAGGCAATAGTTTCCAGAGATGGTACTGAGAGTGGGTGCCCCTTCTGCTTGGCCATCAGCTCAAAGTCAGTCTTGTGGCATCTGCTCAATTATTACAGCAGAAGAACTCAGCCCATCCAATTAACATGGTGAGACAGGAAACAAGACCTTGACAGGCAAAGGACACTGGGAGGCCAGGCCTATGCTGAGCTCAACGCTGATAATGATCCTCTGGAGTAGTTGGCAACAATGTAGCTAAGAGATTATCTGGCAGAGCTGTCAAAGCCTCTGTGCACCCACACATGGGTGGTAGAAGATTGCATCCAAGCCATTAATGCTACCATGTATGTTCATGCCTTCTTCCATCAAGACATTCACAACTGGAGAATGCAGTTAGCAAATACTAAAGTTAGACATGGTGTAATAAGTCTGACACCATTGCCTTAACTCGAGTTTAAGGGATAGTGACACGGTGATAGAGGCACTTTGAGCTTTTGTCCTTCTCAGGTGATCAGGGAAATTCTAGTGTGCCTTCTAAGGGAGAAGAAGCAGCCAACTTCCACAACTGGAGGCTCCTCTCAGGGCACTCTGAATGTGGACAGCAGCGTCTCTGCCAGTGACACCAGCTCCAGTTGCTGCAATGACAGAGAAAGGTCTGCACCAGTTCAGAAATCCGTCTGCATATTGATAGAGAGCCAGAGGACAGCTGCTAAGGTCATCCCAAGCTGTGAGAGAGTCCTATCAGACTAGCTCAGTAGTAAGCACAAAGAGGGCTTGTATGGTGCATTAGCATATAAACAATAACAAGGAAGAACAAAGAACAATGCAGCACATGAACAGACCCTTTGGCCTTCCAAACCTGTGCCGACACATTTTGCCCTTCTATAATAAACTGTCTTCACTTACAGGATCCATATCCCTCTATTCCCTTCCAATTCATGTATTCATCCAGGTGCCTCTTGAACGCTGCTATTGTGTCTGCTTCCACCACCTCCTCTGGCAGCGTGTTCGAGGCAGTCACCACCATTTGTGTGAAAAACGTGCCTCACACATCTCTTTTAAACTTCCCCCATTGCACCTTGAATCTGTGTCCCTGAGTAATTGACCCCTCCACCCTGGGAAAAAAGCCTCATACTTTTCACTCTATCAGGTCACAATCTTATAAACATCTATCAGGTCACCCCTCAATCTCCTGCATTCCAGTGAAAACAAATTCAGTCTAGCCAACCTTCCTTCCTAGCTAAAAATCCCTCATACCAGGTAGTATCCTGGAAAACCTTTTCTGTAGCCTCTCCAAAGCATCCACATCCTTCAGGTAGTGTGGTGACCATAACAGTATGCAATATTCCAAGTGTGGCATAACTAAAGTTAAGTAAAGCTGCAGCATAACTTGTCTATCCTTATACTCAGTGCCCCTTCCAATGATGCAAGCATGCCATAAGCCTTTTTTATTACCTTATCTTCCTGTGCTGCCACCTTCAGTGATCTGTGGACCTGCACACCCAGATCCCTCTGTATATCAATGATCCGAAGGGTTCTGCCCTTCACTGTATAATTTCCACCTGTATTTGACCTTACAAAATGCATCACCTCACATTTGTCTGGATTAAATTCTATCTGCTATTTTTTTGTCCATGTCTCCAACTGATCTATGTCCTGCTGTATCCTCTGACAATGTTCTTCACTATCCGCAACTCCACCAATCTTTGCATCATCTGAAAACTTACTAATTAGACCAGCCACGTTTTCCTCCAAGTCATTTATGCAGATCATGAACAGCAGATGTCCCAGCACTGATCCCTCCTTTCCAAAAAGCATCCTTCCACAGCTACCCTCTGTCTCCAATGACTGAGCCAGTTTTGCATTCATCATGCCAGCTCACCCCTGATACCATGTGACGTCACCTTTTGTACCAGTCTGCCATGAGGGATCTTGTCAAAGTCTTTACTGAAGTCCATGTTGACAACATCAATCGCTTTCCCCTCATGAATCATCTTTGTCACCTCTTCAAAACAGTCGAACAAGGTAATGAAGCACAATCTCCCTAGTACAAAGCCATGCTGTTTATCGCTAATCAGTCCATTTGCTTCTAAATGCTTATAGATCTTATCCCTGAGAATCTTTTCCAATAATTTCCCTACCACTGACATGAGGCTCACAGGCCTGTAATTTCCAGGATTATCCCTGTTACACTTCTTAAATGATGGGACAACATTGGCTATTCTCCAGTCCTCTGGGACCTCACCTGTGGCAAAAGAGGATACAAAGACATGTCAATGATCCAGCATTTTGTTCTCTTGCCTTCCTCAATATTATGGGATAGGTCCCATCAGGACCCAAGTACTTATTTATCTAATATGCTTGGCTCCATTCTTACTTCAAAATATTTCAAAACTTTCTGACATAAACTGGGGACCATTTTCTAACACCAACATCACTGGCATCCCATAAACTTCTCAAAATCTCCCGAAACCACAATATTTTGGCACCTGTGGTATTGGGCAGAGTCTCAGCATTTATCCATCTGTTATAAAAGGGGCCTCACCTATCAATGGGCTTCCAAAGGTTTTTTTCTTTATTCATTCCCAATACATAGATACGACTGGCAAAGCCAGCATATACTGGCCATCCCAATCGTCAATGAGAAGGTAGTTTAGAGGCAACTACTTGCTGTTGTTCTGGAGTCATATGTAGCCAGGTCAAGTAATGAAAGCTGATTTTAATTCCTTCAAAACATTTGAAAACCAGATAGATTTTTACAACAATCCATGCAAGTTATCCTAGTGTTCACTGAGATTAGTTTTATAGTTTGAGAATTCATTCATTTAAATTCCACCAGCTGCCACAGTAGGAAGAGCATGCTGGAGCATTAGCCTGGCCCCTACATTACTGGTCCACTGACATGGCTACTACCTCTTCAACTTCCCCACTGGTTTCAAGTGGTAGACTCCTCTCAATAAGAAAATGAGGGCTCCAGGACTCCAACTGTCAGTGAGGTCAGGCCTATGTAGAGAATTCTTCTTGTATACTCCAACCGGTTCTCATAGTGCTAGAGCTAAAATAAAGTAAACACCCTAATCTCATAATAGTAGTTAATGATTCTGGTGTCTTGGGAAATTTCCTCCTGAATCTTGACAAAAATCAGAACTACTCAACCACCTAACACCCACTATATCTTGCTGCCAGATCCAGAGGCCTGATATGGTCAAACTTTGTTAAAGTCAACTAGAGTCCATTATAAAAGAATTAATAGCATAGTGCTTGTAAAACAGTGACAGGATCAGACAGTCAACATGGATTTATGAAAGGGAAGTTATGCCTGAAAAATCTATTGGAATTTTTTGAGAACATAACTGGTAGACTTGATAAGGGGGAGCCTGTGAATGTGATTTATTGAACTTTTAGAAGGCTTTTGATAAAGCCCAACATAAAAGATTAGCATGTAAAATTAAATTATATGAGATTTGGGTTTGTGTATGATACGCTTAGAGAACTGGTTGACCGACAGGAAAGATGGAGTAAGGATAAAAGGGTCTTTTTTGAAGTGGCAACCATTGATTAGTGGGCACCGCAAGGATCAGTACTTGCACCCCAGCTATTCAGTATGCACATTAATGATTTAGACAAAGGAACTAAATGCTATATCTCCATGTTTGCAGATGAGACATAGTTGGGCGGGAGGTTGAGTTGTAAGGAGGATACAGAGATGATACATATGATTTGGAAAAGTTGAGTGGGTGGGCATATGAAGTATTCTCCATTTAGGAAATGAAAGTACAATGAACAAATGGTGGTAATAGAATTCGTACCAAGTCAAAGATAAATTATAACTGGTAATTTACTATAAAAGCAGTAAAATGAATTATCATATCACTTGTCAGACGGGAATTGTTATTCTTTAACAGATTGATAATGAAAGCTGATGAGTATCTCATTCTATTTTAGGTGGAGCCATATCAAACATGTATGCCTTGCTAATTGCACGCTACAAGCTGTTTCCTGAAGTTAAAGAAAAGGGAATGACTGCCATTCCGAAACTGATTGCCTTCACATCGGAACACGTATGATTTTTACTATTTCATGTTCTTGTTGTCCTAATAGAGATCCATAATATGTGTTATAGAGGAGGCCTAATACCATCCCATCCTTATCACAACACCTATTTGTTTGTTCATCTTTCCAATTAAGCAATGATATACATTTGAGAAATAAGCTGATGTTGTCATAAACATTTCTCTCAGCAGACTGTTATATGGATTTTACAGTGCAGCTACCTTCTCGCCTCTGCTTGTTCTATAACCAAAGTAATACCTTTTCAATACCCACATTTAAGAAGAAATTTATTTAAGCAACTTTAATATTTAGACTTTTGACAAGATAAGAGCCGATCAATGTTAGGGTTAGCATATCGGCTTCTTTTATGAGCAAGAAGGCAATTTATTTGATAACTCGTCAAGGTCCTAAGGAACAATTAAGAATCAGACAGCAATAAAATCTCTTACCTATTCCTCCCTTCCACCAAGATAGCCTATTGCGTATTCAGATAACTTCATAAGCCCAGAAGAGCACAGCACATTCAACAGGGACTCTGGAGGAATCATATTAAAATTACTGACTGGCTGACAACATAGAAACTGTTCATGGCATTCGTGGAGGTGAACGTTTAGTAAAGGTTTGCAGATGGTGAAATGTCCTTAGCTAGCATTGTCAGGATTACATCCGCAGTTTGAATATGGAATGCTGTCTGTGATGTCTTTGAGCTACTATATCAGTTGTTCCAGCAACAACTGATATAAAGAGAACACAGGGCATGAAGAAATTCAAGAAGAAATATGCTTTCCACTGTATCATTCATTAAGAATGAAAATTCTTGAAGTTGATCAGGAACATGGTTAATGAGAGCACAATCAATTCAGATTCACAGTTCAATCATGCTAATAGTGATAGCATATTTTACTGACACTCTGAGGGAAATTGTACTCTCTTATGTATTGGCACTGGAGGGGGTGCAAAGGAGGTTCACTAGGTTGATTCTGGAGTTGAGGGGGTTGGCTTATGAGGAGAGACTGAGTAGATTGGGATTATATTCATTGGAATTCAGAAGATTGAGGGGGGATCTTATAGAAACATATAAAATTATGAAGGGAATAGATAAGATAGAAGTAGAGAGGATGTTTCCACTGGCAGGTGAAGCTAGGACAAGAGGGCATAGCCTCAAGATTAGAGGGAGCAGATTTAGGACTGAATTGAGAAAGAATTTCTTCACCCAGAGGGTTGTTAATCTATGGAATTCCTTGCCCAGTGAAGTAGTTGATGCTACTTCAGTAAACGTTTTTAAAGAAAAGGTAGATATTTTTTGAACAATAAAGGAACACGGGTAAGTGGATCTGAGTCCAAGAAAAGATCAGCCATGATCTTATTGAATGGCGGAGCAGGCTCGAAGGGCCAGACGGCCTACTCCTGCTCCTAGTTCTTATGTTCTTATGTTCTTATTCCGATACTTGGGATCTGACAGCATGTGGACTGTTAATCCAGCAATTACATCATGAATCAAGTTCAACAGTTGCTTCCTAGCAGTGATGCCACTTGTATGTACAGAATCATTAGTAGGGCACCTGGTGTCCATGGTGCCAAGAGTGCTTGGTACACTATGGATGCAGCTTGGCTACCATCCTACCAACCTATTATCTATTACCACCCAATCCATGATCCCATGGTGGTGGGTCTTTTGAGGTCAAAGTGCCTAATATCCTTTACTCTTAAGGGTTATGGTGAATCCTTTCCTAGTTGAAGAAGTAGTTATACCTAGTGTGTCCATTCTGCCCCAGCTTCAAGCCCTTGTGGTAACACAACAAACTGGGAATACCTGAACATAGCAGGGCCCCGGGCTATCTTGATGCCTTTACCCTTTATGATCTTTTGAACACTCAGGATAATTATAACAGGATTTCAGGAGAATTGAATAAAACTTAGACAAATAATCTAAAAATTAGGAGTTGAATTTAAAGCGGGGTGGCGGGAGGATTGTTTGGATCATCTGCTTTAACTGGAGGGAAAGATTGAAGAAATGAAGTATACACAGTTGTTACATCACCTCTCCAGGGTTACATTGATATTGTGAAAAGTTATGGTGGGCGATTAGAATAGCCCTTGGAAACTCAGCACACCTCCCAATCCCTAAAGCCCCTTCAATCTGTACAAATTGTGCCACCTTTCGAATATTTAGGTTGGTTCATTATTTAATTTAATATCATGTAAATTGTTGCACTATTTTAAGTAGCTCCAATAGCCATAATTTGTCCATCAAAACATGCTTAATCACACAAATATACAAAGGCAGGACAACAGCAACTCAGAAGCAAACAATTGGTAATAAGACTCATCAATCCAAATTATTCAGTGCTTTCTTTTATAATTACAGATCTGGTAGAAGGATTAACTGTGAAATAAGACCAGTTGCAGTGCCTAACTTTTTTTTTTCATTTTGTTCACTTAAACCTGCCACTGAGAATGTTCATTACTGCTTTTTACCTGTCATACTCACATCTGTATTTAAATAAGACCCAACATGCAGAGAAAACCATGAGCCCCGTCAATATTTTAATCTAGCATTGCTATCGTCTTCTGTTAGTGAACTTTACTGATTTTTTTATTTTTGGATACTTTTTAATTATTGGTTTTTCCTATCGTTTGTGAGACACAGTTTATGCAAAAGCCAGGGTTCAACTTCAGGATTTCTTAGCCAGGAAAGGGAAATTCATGATGCAGTTCATCAGGTTATTATTAGCTGCAAATTATTCCAATACATTCCATCATTCTTAAAGGGAGAAAAGAGTGTGAAGATATTGTCTTCACAGGGGTGCTTATTTTGTCTGTTTAGATTCATGGCCCCTGTAGTTGAATAGCTTAGCTGGTACTCAGTATCTTGAGTCATACACAAAGAGTGCCTGTTTAGGGAAAAACCAAAGTGTGGTGGAGGTCATCAGTGACAAATAAACAGAAGAGAACAGGAAAGATTAAAATAACTCTTAACAAGTACACAATCCGCCTTGTCTGTGTAATATATTTTAACTCAAAACCTATTTTTGTCCCTGCGTGTCTGTTGATCCTTACAGAGTCATTTTTCAATAAAGAAAGCAGCAGCAGCTCTGGGGATTGGGACAGATGGAGTGGTTCTGATCAAGTGCGATGTAAGGTAGGTCACATTATATGTTGCCTGCAGAGTTTTCCACTCCTCAAACAGTAAGAGACAGCTTCTGCTTTCATGCACATAGAGGTCTCTGCTGATACAGAATCTGCATGTACGTTCAATCAAAGCTCTGAATGTAGTGCATTTACGATGACAATTCTACAGCAACCAATCTGTTCAATTCTGCCTTCATCTCCACCTTTAATGCCTTCAACCCCATTAAAACCATTAAAACTCTCTCTCTCACCCTGGCTTTTCGATCTGGTATGGCTCTGATTTGGTCCCTTAAATTAAGATAAAAGCAATGTGGTTGATTCTTAACTATTCTCAGAAGTAGCCTAATTAGCTACTCGCTTTGAGGGCAATTAAGGATATGCAACAAATGCTGGCCTTGCCTGTGACATCTACTCCCCAAGAAAGAATAAAGAAAAATAATTCAACAAACTTCAAAATCTCCAAATTCCTTTCATTTTCCAAAGTCCTGAGAGGCTTTTCCACTCCCACATCCATGTTCGTCTTCCGTGGAACTCCAGGTTTGAATCATTTCATTCAGGTTTCAGTCCCCGTCACAGACCTGAGATAATCGGAAATGTTAAACTGAGGTTTCCATTTGCTACCTCTGGTGGATGAGAAAGACACCATGGCAGTATTTTACAAAAGAGAAAGCCAATAGTTATTCCTCAACTGACATGATTAAATGGTATCTAGTCATTACATATGCAAGTTTGTGAGATTTTATTCTGTGCAAATTGACTGCTACATTTCCATCACTTGGACAATCATGATACGTCTGAAGTACTTAACTAGTTGATTCAGTACAAGCTGTTGTTTCCATGAGTCACCTTCATGGAACCCCTGGTTTGGCGGGATAGCAATGCCAGTGCTGAAATATTACGACATAAATAGTGAACTCACTCTGTGGTGTGACTCCAATGATGCAGAACTTGTAGCAACCCTAATGCAGCAAGGTCAACCAGTTCCATTTACGTTCAGGGCACCAACACAAACAGCAAGATATTACGTAGCACCATAGGAGTAGGTTTCTGATGAAAGATATTACGTACTTGTGCAGACAGCACCTAGCCATTGTCTTTGTTTTTGAATACGTTCTTGTGATTCCAGTCCCACAGCAATGTGGTTGACACTTAACCACCCTCTGAAATGGCATGGTCAGCCACTCAGTTGTATCAAAATGCTTAAAAATTCTAAAAGAAATGAAACTGGACTGACTACCTGCCATTGATCTGGGCATCGGAAGTAACAATGGAAAACTCAGTCAAGGCAAGCCTGCAAAGTCCTCTTTACTAACATCTGGGGCTACTGAAAAAATTAGGACAGCATTCTCACACATTAATCAAACAACAGTCTGATATAGTCACCTTCATGGAATCACACCTTACAAATAATATCCCAGACTTACCATTACCATCCCTGGATATGTCCTGTTCCACCGGTAGGACAGACCAAGTCATAGAGTCATTGAATTGTACAGCACAGAAATAGACCCTTCGGACCAATTCATCCATGCCAATCAAATATACTGATTCAATCTAGTCCCACTTGCCAGCTTTTGGCCCATATCCCTCTAAACCCTTCCTATTCATGTACCCACCTAGATGTCTTTTAAATGTTGTTATTGTACCAGCCTCCACCACTTCCCCTGGCAACTCATTCCACAGACACACCACCCTCTGCAAGAAAATGTTGCCCCTTAGGTCCCTCTTAAATGTGTTCCTTCTCATCTTAAAACAATGCCTTCTAGTTTAGAACTCCCTTACTCTGGGAAATAGACCTTGGCTATTCACGCTACTCATGCCCCTTGTGATTTTATAAACTTCTATAAGGTCACCCTTCAGCCTCTGACACCCCAGGGAAACGCCTCCAGCCTATTCAGCCTCTACCTATGGCTTAAACCCTCCAGACCTGGCAACATCCTTGTAAATCTTTTCTGCACCTTTTCAAATTTAACAACATCTTTCCTACAGCATGGAGACCAGAACTGAATGCAGTATTCCAAAAATGGCCCAACCAATGTCCTGTACATGATACCCCAACTCCTGTACTCCAATACACTGACCAATAAAGGCAAGTGTAGCAACACAGTGGTATGCAGTCAGGAGGGAGTTGCCCTGGGAGTCCTCAACATTAACTCTGGACATCATGAGGTCTCATAACATCAAATTAAACATGGGCAAGGAATCCTTCTGCTGCTTATCGTGTACCCCCTCAGCTGATAAATCCATACTTCTTCTTAAACACCACTTGGAGTCACTGAGAGTGGAAAGGGCTCAGAATGTAGTCTAGGTGGGAAATTTCAATGTTCATCCATGTGTAGAACATACATAATCTTATCCTCACCAAGCTGCATGTCGCAGATGCATCTATCCATGACAGTATCAGTAGGAGTGATCACTGTGCAGTCTTTGTAGAGACAAAGTCCCATTTTCACATTGAGGATACTGCCCACTAGGTTATGTGGCACTACCACTGTGACAAGGTGGGAAAGAATTTGAACAGATCTAGCATCTCTCAAGACTGGGCATCTATGAGGCACTGTGGGCCATCAACGTAGCAGAATTGTACCCCAGCACAATCTGCAACCACATGGCCCTGCATATTCCCCCACTCAACCATTACCATCAAGCCAGGGAATCAACTCTGGTTTAATGGAGAGTGCAGGAGGGAATGTGAGCAGCAGCATCGCCATTATGTTACAAAGAGGTGTCAAACTGGTGAAGTTACAAAATGGGACTACTTCCATGTAAGACAGCATAAACAACCAATGGTAGGCAGAGCTAAGCGATTCCACAACCAACAATCCAAGCTCTGTCACCTTTTCACATCCAGTCATGATTGGTAGTGGACAATTAAACCGTGTTCTGGAGGAGGATATTCCACAATTACCCTCATCCTCAGTGATGGGAGAGCCTAGAACATCGATGAAAAATATAAGGCTGAAGGATTTGCAACAACAGTGCAAAGACTATGGGTTATGATAACATTCCAGCAATAGTCCTGAAGACTTGTGTTCCAGAACTTTCCTTGTCCCTAGCCAAGCAGTTCCACTACAGACACAGCACTGACATCTAGCTGATAGCATGGGAAAATACCTGACTATTTCTTGCACACAAAAAGCAGGACAAATCCAACCCAGTAATTACCACCCCATTAGTCTACTCTCAATCATCAGTAAAGTGATGGATGGGGTCGTCAAAAAAGCTATCAAGCAGCACTTTCTTAACTGTAACCTGTTCACTGAAAGTCAGTTTGGGTTCCACCAGGCAAACTCAACTTCTGAACTTATTACAACTTTGATTTAAATTGGACAAAAAGTTAAACTCCAGAGGTGACGTGAGAATGGCTGCCCCGGACATCAAGAGAAGATTTTATTGGGTGTGACATCAAGGAGTCCTAGCGAAACTCCAGTCAATGGGAATCAGGGAAAGCTGTCTGCTGGTTGGATTCATATGTGGCACAAAGGAAAATGACAATGATCAGTGGAGATCAGTCATCTCAGCTCAGAAAAGCCAGCATTTATTGCCCGTTGCTAATTGCCCACAGGGCAGTTAAGAGTTAAGTACATTGCTACAGGTCTGAGTCACATGGAGGCCAGACCAGATAGCAACTTTCCTTCCCTAAAGAACATAGCGAACCAGATGGGTTTTTCCCTGACATGTCATGGTTTCATGACTATCATTAGACTCTTAATTCCAGACTTCTATTGAATTCAAATTCCACCATCTATGATGGCAGGATTAGATCCTGGGTCCCCAACACATCAGCTGGGTTTCTGGTTTAATTGTCTAATGATAATACCACTAGGCCATCAACCTCTCCTCCACAATTCTACCAATCTCCAACCACTGGAACTTTGTCCTAAGCCCAACCATCTCAGCTGTTTCATCAATGACCATCCGTCCATCATAAGGTCAGAATCGCAGAGGTTCGCCAATGATTGCACAATGCTCAGCATCATTCATGACATCTCAAATACTGAAACAGTCCATGTCCAAATGCAGCAAGACAATGCATCCAATTGTGAGCTTCAGGTGGCAAGTAATATTCGCACCCCACTAGTGCCAGGGAACTACCATCTCCAAAAAGAGAGAATCAAACCATTTCCCTTTGACATTCAATAGCAATTCCATCACTGAAATCCCTACTATCAACATTCTCAGGATTACCATTGACCGGAAACTCAACTGGATTTGCTACATAAACAGTGTCTACAAGAGCAGGTCAGAGCTAGGAATGCTCAGCAAGTTTCTTTACTCATTCACGGGATAAGGACGTCACTGGCTAAGCAGCATTTATTGCCCATCCCTAATTACCCAGAGGGCAGTTAACAATCAACCACATTGCTGTGAATCTGGAGTCACATGTAGACCAGACCAGGTAAGGATGGCAGTTTCCTTCCCTCAAGGACATTAGGGAGCCAGATGGAACTGGACGGATCACCTGGCATCGGACTAGACACCGGAAAAGACAATGGCAGAAACAGCCCTGTCGACCATGCAAACTCCTCCTCACTAACATCTGGGGGTTAATGCCAAAATTGGGAGAGCTGTCTCACAGACTAGTCAAACAACAGCCTGACATTGTCATACTCACAGATCATACCTTACAGACAATGTCCCAGACACCACATTCTGAAGACTTCTGAAGCAGGGTCTAGGCCCGAAATGTCAGCCTTCCTGCTCCTCTGATGCAGCTTGGCCTGCTGTGTTCATCCAGCTCTACACCTTGTTATACCACATTCACCATCCCTGGATATGTCCTGTCTCACTGGCAGGACAGACCCAGCAAAGGAGGCAGCACAGTGGTATACAGTTGGGACGATGTTACTCTGGGAGTCCTCAACATTGACTCTGGACCCCATGAAGTCTCATGGCTTCAAGTTAAACATGGGCAAGGAAACCTCCTGCTGACTACCACATACTGTCTTCCCTCAACTGACGAATCAGTACTCCTCAATGTTGAACAACACTTAGAGGAAGCACAGAGGA